AAAATCAGAATTATTTCTCACAAATGAAGGCAAATATACGTGTCCCAGGATAATGTTGCAAGATCCAATCTGGGCAGTCACCGGACCAGCTTTCCAAGCTTTTGGACTTGGGTTAAAGCCCATCCTCAGTGATCTTCTCTCTATCGAATGTGTGCTTTGGGTCGTATTTATGTGGTGCCTTCCTATTGGTTGATTGGTGTGTTGACAGCTGGTGATTGGCTGTTTCCTTGTGCTGCCAAGTCCTCGCTCCTATTTGACCAATAGAAAGTACCACATAAATATGACCCAAAGCACACATTCTGGTAGAGAGAGGTTCCCTGAGAATGGGCTCCAGCACACACATCCAAAAGCTCGGAAGACTAAGCCTCTGGTCCCAGAGACCGATCCAGATTGCAACTTGCAGAATTATTTCTTCTTTCATCTTAGGGAACCAGAAGAAATAACTAGATTTCTTTTTTAAATACCGTAAAAATACTTTGCTGTCAAGATATATCAAGCTATTTGCTTTCCCATGCGGAAAGGGTTGTTGAGTTGATAGGCAAACCTTCAGAAACAATTAAGTAAAGTGATTGGATAAATACCACTGGGAAGATCAGTCTTGAACAAATGAATGTAAATGAATTCACTGTCCTTTCCTTTTAGCAGAGTTTCCATATAAAGGACTTCAGGGGCATTTCTTTCATGACACCCAAGAATTGTTGTGGCCTCTTCAAAAATATATTACCAAGGAGGGCTGATCTGTAATATTATTTCAAAAGTCTCTTGTGTGCATCTTCAGAGCTCTTAAATGCACTGAAGATAAGCCAAACACATTTCAGAACACTTTTTGCTATAATCTGAAGCACAAAGTAATTTTCCTCTCAAAGTAAACCTTTAATGGACCTGGAGTGTTTTCACAAAGTGGTAACTTGGTTCTTTGTCTAATATTTGACGCCATTTGATATCAGGTAATATTTTGCCGCAAACACTTCCAGTGTGTTCGTCACAGACAGTTTCAGTCAATTAGGTTGCTTAGAGGAAAAATCTTTAATAAGCTTTTTGTTCCTAGAAAATAATCAGTATAATTGGAAGAAAACACATCTAGGAATAATTAATATTAGATTCTATGCTAGATTACAAGAATACCAATTTAAAGAACTTGTGGGCTTTTGAGGAGATGCAGTTGAAACCTTTCTAGATCAGGTAAGTGGAAAAACGAGGAAACAGTCCTTTCTTTTCTTTTTTTAAAAGCACAAGGAATAACTATACATTCAGGAGAAGAGGCCTTTCAGTAGAGGAATGGAGTCAGCACATCTCCAAATGAGTGGAGACAATGCAGATGCAACCAAAGGACTGGTGAGTAGACTGGTCCAATGGAACCTCTTCAGATAAGAAGAAGATAGATCACTTACTTGTGCTCCAGATGGCTGTTTCTCATGAGAAGACTGTAGGATAGCAGCTTCCCATGAGTCTTTGTTCTAATCACTTTCAGAACTTACTTAAGGCTAATAATGATCTTGAAAGTGGCAAGTTTGGAAAGCCACCTGGTGAGTTTACTGCCATTCCAAAACAAAAAGAAAATTAAGTATAAGCTTCAGAATTTAAAGAATTTGAAACAAATGGCAAAAGTTAAGCAAGGTTTTTGATTCAAGAAAGTTACAAACAAATTGAGGGATGAGCTGAATTTGGAATAGTAGGATTTCTGCTTTAAGATTTTGGAAATTGTATTGTTTAGTTTACCTTAAATCATAACAAAAAATCATAAAAGGCTTTATGATTCTAGAAATTAGTCACTAGAGGGGACTAAAGATCCCAGGCATAAACGGAGAAGAAAGAAAGAAAAAAAGATAGGCTTGTCTTTTGATTTGGTCAGCACTGGGAGAAAATGACACGAAGTGGTATGACAGTTGAAATACTTCAGAAGATAGTTGAACAAAGGGGACAGAACTAGCACATACAATGACAGCAATATTCTGTGTCTATGGATAAACTATGTCCAAATGATATTTTAAAAGAAATGACATAGATGAAAGACAGTACCTTATGCTGAAACAACAAGCCTTATGCAGAAAATTAGAATATAAAAAATGTTGAGATACTGGAAAATGAAAAACAATGTGGATTACAAGAGAAAGATGAGAGTCAAAGTAGAAATACAAATGAGAAACCAAGAGAATGACCTGGACAATGATTCCTTACTGGATCTACAAAAGAGATTTGTTAAAACCTTGAAGAAGTCTTTGAGATGAGAAAAAGAAAATCTGAAGAGAAATCAAAGCCTACAACAACATCTGAATGAATTATATTAAATATTAAGATTCTTAGATGCAAAAGGAAGGAATGTAAAGCTGGCTTGTTTGACCAAGGTTAAAATAAACCAAATTTTTATAAAATTCTGGAAATTCTTTATGGATTTTGCTGACATCAATGTTGAAATATTAATGATTTATGTAATGTGTGTGGGTAAGATATGGACAAAGAGATACTTGCAGGTAACCTTATAGGAGGTGAATAATTCTAAGTTTGCTTGTATTGTGATGGAAATGAGTAAGTTCTTTAAATATTTTCCTTCTTTTTTTCTTTTCCTGCACTTTCTGTTCTCTCCTTACTTTTCTTCCCTTTTTCAGTTAAGTTTGCATTGTCTGTTGTTACTGTTTTTAATTTTTTTTTCAGTAAAATATTTTTTAAAAAAGGAAGCTCAGAAGAAGGAAGAGTAATTTTTGAAAAGCATTCTGCTGCATTTCAAAACAGGAACCAAAGCAAAGCTCTTACACTCCTTTAGTACTTATGGTTAGGAAAGTTCTAAAAAGCAAATAGAAAGCATAGTAGTAAGAAATTTTTATCCTAACTGTATCTGTATGCAGTGCATTTTCATGCTTTAACTTTGTATATATACATGCCATTTAAGTGTATATATGTGTTTCACATATAAAAACATATATGTCCCAGAAGACCTGCACACTGGAAAAAAAGCAATGGAATATTTTCCTGGGAAGCAAAGGCTGGAGGGCCACAACAAAGGGAAGTAGTAGCCTGAAGCTGACTGAATTCTTTGGATGTAATAATAATAATAATAATAATTTATTATTATTATTATTATTATTATTATTATTATTATTATTATTATTATTATTAGTTGGAAGGGACCTTGGAGGTCATCGAGTCCAACCCCCTGCTCAGGCAGGAAACCCTATACCATTTCAGACAAATGGCTGTCCAGTCTCTTCTTAAAAACTTCCAGTGTTGGAGCATTCACCGCTTCTGGAGGCAGGTTGTTCCAGGATTGACTTAAACTGCTTTAGTACATGAGCACACAAAAGGAGCAACATAAATAGTAAGCATGGGTGTGCTATTTAGTCATACTGCAAGTAATGAAAATGCATTGGTGTGCCATTTATGTTGCCAGCCCATGATGTTTTAGTTGACTTCTATAAGAATTCAAAGTAGGGGTCAATTGATGCTTACACAATTTTAACCAGGAATCCTTTTTTTTGGGGGGGGGGGAGCTGCAGATTCCACAAGAGCTATTCAGTACCATAGTTACTTAGTGCTATTTTTAGAGATTTTAACACATCTACTAAGCTGCACACAGTCCATTAGCCTAATATCATGGCACATGAGATCATTAACAATGGTAATTTATTTGAAATTCCACATGGGCAACAAAAGAAACATCTCGGGTAAGATGCCACACAAGGCTGATAGTTTAAATTAGTGAATTCCACATCATGTAAGTTTATATTACCAGATGTGATGATATTATGTTCTATTGAAACAGCTTTTATTACTTTATTAATAATATTTTTACCTTAACTTTTTTTAAAAAAATATTGTATATATATAGTAACTACGATTTTATATTTTTAAAGAGAGATTTTTTGCAACTTAGTTTTCCATTCCAACTGTGAGTCATTTGCATTCAAAAAGAATGCATATATCTCAGCAAGCTGGAAAAACTGTGCAGCTTGATCCTGAATCAGAAGCCAATTGGATTGTTTTATTAGCAACATTATATTTTGATAGGGAAAGCAAAGACAAGGAACTTAGTTGTCTCTGCCCATTGGCGTCAGTGCTAATTATCCCAGAGGCGTGTATATAAAGCCACAGACTGGGTTTAAGGAAGCTGATGGCACCCCATTTTTCATACCTGGATATTGATTTGGAGGAATAGCTTCTTGCTTAAGATGCTCTTCCTGCTGCTGGACTTTCCCAATCTGCCACTGAAAAAGGACTTCAGTTTCCGATAAGCAGGAATAAAATGGAGTTCTGGGAGGTTTCTGAAGCCAGTTAGCTAGCCATCTTAGTCACTACTGTATATAAGTCAGGAGTCTTCAAACTTGGCTCTTTTATGACTTGTGGACTTCAACTCCCAGAATTCCTCAGCCAGGCATGCTGGCTGAGGAATTCTCGGAGTTGAAGTCCACAAGTCATAAAAGGGCCAAGTTTGAAGACCCCTGATTTAAGTTATTATTGTGTTCTTTGTTTCTGTCTCTTTTTTACAATGAGGGATTAGGAGTGCTTCCTTCCCTCCGCCTGCCATACCTGGGTGCAAAGCAGCACTTATAGAATGGAGCCACATAGATAGTGGTAGCAAGGAAGTAGGCCTTGATCCTGATTGTCATCTCTCTTGCCATACCAGAGAATTGGGAGTGACCCAAGCCTGGTGCAAGGTAACATGTCCTGAACTGGCTCTGGTAGGAGCAGGACAGGCCCAATTGAGGCATTCCATTACCTCAGGGGTTTCAGGGTCTTTTATACCAAGCCAATTTCTCCCTATGGTAGGGCCATCCTCCAGATGCCCAGCTCCAAAGTCACTAGTAACTTCAAAGATCATTAAACAGATATGGCAAAATAGTACTGTAACTCTGTTTCATGAAAAACTTCCACTTGAAACCTTTATATTTAATAACACACTATATATTCTTTCATGTTTAGTTGTTGGGAGACTTTTGTATCAGTGTATAAAAAGTGGACCTTGGACTAGTTTCCACCATTTTTTTTATTAGCGTGAGATGAACTGTGATATGTGTGTTTCTTTTAATAAAGGAATAAGTGTAATCAAAATAGGACATATGAACTCAATATTTTATAAAACCTCTTTAATTCACTCTTATTTTACATGAATATTTATCAGCACTTTATCATTTACTCTTGATAAAAAAAATCAACAGGACACAGTAAATGTTTTTTCATTATGAAAATATGTCCAGGCTTATGAATGTGCATATGAAGAGCAAAGTAAAAAACATACCAAAGCTATCACCTAACTCTTGAATTGATTCAATCCATTTTGGCTTTGTCAGAACACAAAGCTACCATTTCCACAAATCTAGACTACCACTGGGAGAAAAACTGGAGCTTCTTTGAAGCCTTTGACCAAAGCTGATTTCTTCGCTCAGCCGGGAAGTCACAACTGAGGATCAGAAGATTCCTCCAGTATTACAGAAAGGAACAATGCATGGTGTAGTGGCCTAGAACTTGTGCCTCAACTGTAAACATTAAAATAAATGTTATTAATTTGCATTTTTATTTATTTTTGTACTTGCTCTGTGTGTCAAGCATTCATTATTAACCCACTTACTCCTTAAAAAAATTAACGAAACTCTCAAAGATATATATATATATATATATGTGCAGTTTCTATTTGATTTCTTATTACTATAAACTGAAAAAAAAAACCTATATAGTCTGGGAAAGAAGTTTTACGTTTGGTTTCTTTTTCTTGCTTACATGAATTTCATTCATAAGCGTGTACACACACCAACCAAAAAAGTATATCAATGTTTTCTGGTTTATCCATAAAAGATCTTTTCATTCTCTCTCCTTCTACTTACACAATACATACAAAAAATAATCTACAAAAATCATTTACACTTGATTTCAGCAACAATGTTTCTAAGAAAAAATGGTTCTGTCCAACCATCATAAAAGGAATGTCAGTAAACAATAAATACAATGTGCTTTCTTTCCTATATAAACATATTTACACTTGAGTCTTTGGTTTATGTTTTGAATTTCTTTATAAAGAACTTTTATCAGGCTGTCATTGCACAGTAAAACAAAATATGCCATTTTTTAAATGTTTGCGGTATGTGTGGCTGTATCTCTCTCTCTCTATATATAGTCTTGCAGCACATAAAACCTACAGATTATCTATCTGTATACAGTATTTTTAAAAACTTTTAACAGTATGAAATTAAGAACAAGTCTGAAATAAAACATTCACTAGAATAGATACATGCAACAGATGACAGGACTAATGTAGCCGAGAGACTGCAGAATATGCAAACACTGGAAAGTTTTACTTTGAATAGCAGATGTGCTCTGCCTTGACTCTTAATTCATTTTTGTGGCACTATATTCAGATTGTGTACAGGGACAGAACAACAGTCCATATACACCATTTATTAAGAAAAATACTTTTGCATTTAAAAATTAAGTTTCCCCTTCACTAAAACATTTCTTCATAGGTTCAATAGAGGATGCCAAAACACAGTTTATTAAATTTCATATTATTTGGTTCACTTGATTGTATTTATCCTTTCGTATTAAGATGATTCAAGGTACTCCAGTGCGACATCATAGCAGAAACGATATTGTTCCTAAGAGAGCAAAAAAAACACAAGTTATATTGCATTTGTGGAGGAAGGAAAATGAAAGAAACACTATTGTTCCATAGACTTAATTGCATATTTTGTTCTTAACTCATCATGTTTTTTATTTTTGTCCATGATTTTTGTTAAAAAAATGATTGGAATTCCTTGCTATCAATGGCTTCATATCTCACTATGATGCCCATTGCTAGTTATTTGTCAACCAAAGAATAATTCTGCTATTTCAAAAGAATAATAATAATAAAAAAATATTAACATTCATTTATCAGCTGACAAACCTCTTTTTTTTAATACTATAGCTGGTATTACACCAAACTGAATGAAACATAAAAGTAAGTCTAGCAAATCTAATATAAGCCCTCCCCCAATAAAAAAAAGATAGGAATTTGAATAAGTCAACATATATAGTTTATAATACCAAGGCCCATGATCTGGAAGGAACAATATTCTGAGCGATGAAAAGAAATGTCAACTCTTTATCTGATTTTTTTTTAAAGTTACCCACCCTTCCTCCCAGGTGTAGAAAATACCATCATACAGCACTTAACAGGATGTGGGAAAAGGTTTTTAAAATATTTTTTGTTCTAGTTCTCTGATTAACATGGTGAGTGGAGATCAGGTGAGTATGTTTGGCTACTTTCCTTGGCTGGTTCCTTCTCCCAGCTTAACAGCTTTTGGGGATGCAATCAAGCATTTTGCCCACATAAAAAGCATGACCTTGAAAATACCCCCACTTTGGCAGCTGCACAGACTGCAATAGAATAGCACCATTGCTTTTGTGCTTTTACGTATAATCAAAGCTGTTAGAAATCATAGCAAGCTAGAAATACTAAAATAAACAACACTGATTATAAAGTATGTGTTCCGAAGTGCTTTTAAATTATAAGTGGGGAAGACATAAAACACAGATCTGTGGAACTGCCCTCCTCCAGTCTAGGAGAACAAAACAAAACCAGTGCATAAATCTACTAGTGTGAATATTCTGCAAATGAAATACAAAATGGATTTACAAATAATTATAGTGGTGGTAGCCAAAGGGGGAAAAAAGTTATTTTTCATCTATTATTCCACAAATGATCGTAGACTACAACTCTTGCCATAATTGGCCAAGAACAGTAGGAGTTCAAGGGCCATAATGTCCCCTCTCTTGCCCGAAACCCGACACTAGTTCTCCTTTCTTTCTGCCTTTTCATCCTCATTCCCATTGATTTTCTTTCCTGCTTCCCATTCTTTACTCTTTCCCATTTATATGCTCTTAATATTTTAGGAAAACAAATACATACTAGGCAAATATACTAATTATGCCTTTTCTGTTTGCAGGAAGTACGTCGGTTGTTTTAAAAATTTCCACATCAGAAGTACTAGAGTTGATATGGGACTCTATTGCTTTTGCTTAGGATCGTTTTCAAAATTTGAGAGGCTGAGCGATGTGGACCGATTATGGTTATGGAATTGAGTTCAAAGAATTAAAAAAAAAATTGCCTTTAACAGTCAAAGGCTACAGAATCATAGGTTTCAAATTAATACTGGCAATAAGCACATCTTACTTTATTCTGATGCACTGCAGAAAAGCTTAATTTCTACATTTTAAGTGTCTGCAGTTTAAAAATGTGCAAGTCTATATTTAACCTATGAACATTACATGGATCTTTTTCTCTCTTTTTTGGTAATTAACCATTTTCTTATCTTTTGTAATATTTACTTTGACTAAATCACCATAATATATCTAGGTTTTTCTTCTTTTTTGTATAAGCATCATCTCTCTCACTCACTCTCATTTCCATGACACAGTACATTGAATCATTTAAAGTTTTAAAAGAATTTTGGATGATGCCTTTCATAAAACTGGAAATTCTCTATGTAACTTTTTTTTTGGGCAGAGATAGGTAAATGGTAGGTTGCCTGGATAGCAAACTATTTTAATTCCACAGAAATATCTGAAATTTTCTTGACCAAAATTAGCATTTCAGGTTGATTTCTTGTTTAAACCATTTATAACTGTGTATGTTGTTAAAAAGAAACAATTTGATGCCTTCTCCCCAAAAAGTCATCCACTACTTTATAAGCTACAATTCTCCAATGATTCCTCTTAGTTAGCATTGAGATGACAGCAACCCAAAACTGCCTGAAACTGTGTCTCATGAGTCAAATTGGGACAGGAAGTTAAAGAGAGAGAAAGATGTTTCCGGTGATTACTGTAAAACCACATTCTTTCAGATTTATCAAAGACCTAGATCTTTCAGTGGTGACTAAAGACTTTGAACTTTAGCATGCATTTGGTGCATGGGAATATGTATAGAGCTATAATTCAGTATTAATACATTCTAGATCAGGGCTTTTCAACCTTTTCACCCATTATACCACTTTTAGGATATGGCAATATCCGAGTACCACCAGTCGCCTAGCAAGATGTCAAAAACTTGATGACCAAAAAAAAAAAGGGAAAAAAGTGATAAAGTACAGGTAGTCCTTGACTTACAACAGTTCGCTTAATGACTGTTCAAAGTTACAATGGCACTGAAAAAGTGCCCCCCAAGCCACAGCCGAGCAAGACACCTGTCTGCCCACCCGGGGGCGCTCTTCCTCCTGTCCGAGGTTTTCATTGTTGTGAACATTTCTGTTGGGGATTGACAGCGAAGGTGGGGTAGGGGGTGTTTGGTTTTTATTCCGACCATCTGCTGGGCAGTTGCAGCAGGTTTTGGTCACTTCACATGACCCTGGGACACTGTGACCGTCATAAATATGAATCAGTTGCCAAGCATCTGAATGTAAATCACAAGACCCTGGAGAGGCTGCAACATTCCAGCTGATCATTTCCAGCTCCAGCTGGAAAGCGGCACTGATCCTGGCGCTTCCGCTGAGCCCTGACAGCCCTGCAGCTCCAGCTATCTCTCGCTCAGGCTTGTGCTGTGCTGCCACCGGTTCAGCTCATTCCCCTCCCCCGCTACTTTTCTAGGATGGTCGTGTACCACCTGCCAGGTGCCAATGTACCACAGGTGGTACCTGTACCACTGGTTGAAAAGCCCTGTTCTAGATGTATTCTAATTATTTTGATATGTTGATAATTAATTGATCGTATTCTATATTTCTGGAGTCTTGGAAAAATGATTTTATTTAGATGACTTACATGATTTTCATGCTTTTGTTTATTTGATTATCATAGAACATAACTTACCGGTGTTTCTACCATGTTAGGCTTACTGTTCCGTAAAGTTTTTACTGCGTGGAAAACATCAATGACGTTTTGCCTTTTAACCATTTCCACTACAATGCCTATGGCACAAAACATCCCGCTTCGTCCACCGCCGTTCCTGAATATGAAAAGAATGGTTAACAAAAAATAGTTCCTTTATAAAGAAGGCTGAATCAGTTTGGAAATGAGCAACTCTGCCTGTTCTTGTTATTGGTTAGCATGTTTCCAAGATACTTAAGCATGTCCTATTTGTAATTCTTAGCCTTATCCTTCATCAATCTCTGCTCATTCTGAATTTTAGCTTTCCTGTCATTAGTTCTACACATATAGGTTATTATTATGTGTTTTCCTTAGTGACCTGACCTTCTGTCCACTTCCGTTATCTCCACTTTCCATTTTTAGATTTTCACTCAACTTTTCTGGCTTCTTCTGACATCTTCTTTTCCATCTCTGCCCCACCCCAATTGTTTGTAATGGTGCTTTAAGTATATCTTTTGTGGGGTTCATCTTTGGCTTCAGTTTCTGTCACCGTGAATTTCTAGTAACAATTGCTTTGCGGTTATTGAGATTCATCATATTGGGGTCTAACGTATGTGTTTGATTGCATTAAGCTTCAGTATTCCTGAATGTAAAGAATTTCATCTGTACATGTTGTTTTTCCTCAATTGTCCCACCACTTTTGTTTTCCCTGTTGATTAAGATTAAGTCAAGCAGAGCTGATCGCTCATGCCTTGTTAAACCCACTGAAGGATTGTCAGAGAGACAGATCAATTATTTTCTTGAAAGGACCATGTTTGCAAGAGTTTATCTTCCAACAGATGTTGAAATAATTAAAATGTCCCATCACTACTCCTTCATGTCTTTTTGAAAGACATGTAATTAGCTTTTTGTTATCTCCTATTATGGTTTTATAACATCCTTCTTTTTTTCCTTGATAACCTGTTACCTAACAATACCCTTGTTTTATTTGGGCTCAGTTTCTGTTTCTTCAGCCTAATAAAGTGTGACTCTATTTAGGTCATAACTGAACAGCAACATGTTGAAAATGAGTAAGGGGGGGGGAAGAGAGAGGGAGAGGAAGAAGGAGGGAGAAGGAGAGGAAGAGAGAGAGAAGAAAATTACTTACATATTGATGATTTCAGTCTCTAAAATCTATATATTCTTAGCCCTAACAAAATCATCTGGAATGGGACACTATTAGAGAGAGGAACTTAAATTTGGTCAATGTTCAATATAAAGATTGTAGGAAAGATTTTGCTTGGAAAGTAGTTCTAAATGCTTGAGGTGGCAGGTATACAATGTGGCCTGAAATATACCTCATTTTCCCATTACATTTATTAATCTAGATAACCCTGTTCAAGTGTCCAGTATCATCAAATAAGATATGCTATCATAAAATGAGGATGGCACAAACTGTTCTTGGGAAGTAGAAATATTCCTCTTTAACTAGAGAAATAGGAGTACACACTATTGTTCTGTTAATGAGACATACCTAGAACATTCACCTACATGAAATTCCATTCAACAGTATGAGGATAATAAATAGGAATAAAATATTAAATTACACTTACAGACAATGAATTATGGTTCTCCCTTCCCCTTCTTCACATTCTTCTTGCCACTTTTCCACTTGAAGAATTAAGTTTAAGAATGACCTCTTGGAACCTGGCACATCCCTATGAGGTGCCCAACTCAGATACTGGAATTGCTGGACCATCAGGTAACCTTCCTGAGGCTAATGGAAAAAAAAAACACAATTTCATACCTACTGCAGACAATACCATGAAGTTACGAAAGAATGAATGCTATATTAAGGCCAATTAAACGTTAATGGCAGACTAGTTTTCTAGTTCATCAGGCAGGATAGCAGAGAGCATGGTTACAAATTTTTTTTTTACTCTGCATAGTTACAAAAGTATGAAGATGGAGAAGAGTTGGTTCGCAATGTAGGTTAACTCATAACTCAGCTTGCACTAGTGCCACAGGGGAAAAATATTTGTCAAAATATTGTTTATTTATCACATTTGTATAGCCAGCCATCTCACATAATGAACCCAAGATAAAAATTTGCAAATTATTTAGGCAAATTTCTATAAACAGTCCTGGTCCAAAGGGCTTTATTGTGGTGGTGGTGGTGGGAATACCCATTTTTATTAGAGAAAATGTAGCTCAATTACCAATGCCACACATTAATTTTAGGTGCTGCTTTAGATGCAAAGCAAGGTATTCAAAGTTTTTCATCTTTTCAAAAACCCCGTGAGACAGATTAGGGCTGGCAGATAGTAAAATGTTGTAGCTTTTTAATGCAAAAGTAATCTGATCCTCTGCAATTCTAATCATTACAGGATTTTTTTACTGCAAACTCCTGTACTTTCTGAGAAAAGTGTGAGAACGTTTCTGGGAACAGATGAGGGGATTTCCAGAGAAAGGGACAGCTGCTAGAATTAAATAAAACACAATATTTTCACTTCCAGGTGTGTGGTATTTGGATCTGACATGGGTACGCCTATTATACTGTTGGAGCCATGACTTTTTCTAGGGTCAAATTAGACCTCCAGCCTAAGGAAAATACCCCACTTGAATTAAGGAGATTGTGCTGCTTACAATGCCTCCTGAACTCAAAATGAATAAGTTCCAGAGCCTTTGTGATTATGGAACAAGCCAGGGAAAGGATAATTTTCTTGAAATGGCTGCTAACAGGTCCAGCAAGGATGATGTAGCTGAAAGAACGTGAATTGTAGGAGTTGAGGGCCATATGTTTTAAAGTTACCAAAGTTGAGAAACCCTACCATACAATAAGCCCTTTAATTTTTGTAGAAATATTTTGCTAAATATGGAATATTTTTTATTTTTTATTTATTTTTATATCACAATAGCTCAGTAAACATGCCTTACCCTTGTTAAATTGCATATCCTGAAAATTCTGTTGATTACGTCACACTCCATGGAGCAGGACATGCACTCAACCTGTATAGGACCATATCTCAGCATTCCTTCTTCTGGCCAATATTGTGGGCAACCCTGTGCGACATTAAGTAAATGTATGTATAAACTTAAGCAACTTTAGACATTGTGCTAAATCACCATAAATTACAGTGTCTTTTAATTAAGATACCAGAATCACGATAGCTTAATCCTTATGCAAATACAGCAACAGAAGATAGGGGGGAAAATCACATTGTTCTACTTTTGCATGGTAAAGCAGTTTTAATTACCCAACTCTTCTATTAATTGCAACTGCTGATGGAACTCACAGTTCTCATGCTTAATTAAACTGGCTCACATCTGGAAGGAGGACAACAGGTTCAATATATGAAACCTCATCTTCTTCTTAGCAGTCTCTTTTACATTAAATGTTTTATTTTACAGTACAGAATATCTATTAGCCAGCAGGGGTGTGCCTTGATAATAATATATCTGGTCCAATCTGATAGCTTGACAAGCAGCCCAATTTATATTGTACTAATATGGAGATTTTCCAGTTGAATTGGAGACCCAAATAGTGAATCTTAGCTCAGTTGGCTAAGATTAAAAAATCATACCTTTTTGCTTTTTATTTGTTACCTTGCTGTATTTCAGATTAATTCATTAATGGATCTTTGTGCAAGAACAATATCTGGATCTTCTAAAATAGGAAACAGGTATTGCCTAAAGCAGGCATGTCAAACTTGCGATGTCACGTGATGTTGCACGATGTACCGTGACTTTTTCCCCATTGCCGGCAATCGGATAGGCGTGGTTTCGGTGTGACGCATCCGGCCCTGGGGCCGGCAGTTTGACAAGCCTGGCCTAAAGCTTTTGGGGGTGGGGCACTGTTTTGAAAATGATACACAAAGGGGATGGCCCTAGTTTAGAAACTTGAAACATTGAAAAAAATAATAGTAAAGCTTTTTGTATAAGGGAGTACTGAGATGTGGGCATCTCTCTACTTCCTTCTTTCCTTTCCTCCTTTTCTCCCTACTTCCATTTATTTATTTTAAATGCTCAATACTAATACTATTTATATATCCCTAGGCAAGAAATCTATAAATGTCACAAGAATAGCTGCAGGGTGTAGAATGTGGATAAATTTTAAAGAGTTTAGCAATAACAATAGCACTTAGACTTATATATTGTTTCACAGTGCTTTACAGCAGGGGTCCCCAACCCTGGCCCATGGACCAGTACCGGGGCGTGGCATGCCAGGAACCCGGCCGCACAAACAAGCAAAGCCAGATCCACAAGATGCAGGCAGCATACAAAACCATGCATCCTCAGGTCCGCAGAAAAACCTCTCAACGGAACTGGTCCCTGGTGCCCAAAAGGTTGGGGACCTCTGCTTTACAGCCCTCTCTTCAGCATTGCCTCATGAAAATTTATGACTGAAGTCTTAGAAAATCCTTTAATGTGAGTAAACATTAGAAAAGTAAAACCTTAATTTAACAAATGTCCATTTAGCAGATTGTGGATAGTGGGGATCAGATTTCTGTTGAGACATCTCCCTGAAATAGCAGACTAGTTTGTTATATCCAAAGTAGTTTTAATGAAGCAGTTGTGACTCAAGAGTAATGGATGCCCTTCCCCTCATGGGCTGTTAAATCTAAATTTCAGTGTACTCTTCTTTCTTACCACTCCTAAATATAATAGTTTTTCTTACTTCAAAGGCTCATGGAGAATATATATCAATATCTGTGTACATGCTTTCTATTTGCTTATTAATTTGAAATAATACTGAAAACCTCAGAAAGGATCATGTACAGATCATGGTCTAGATTTGATGCTCTCCTGACTCTGTCTGAAGTTTATTTTTATTTATTTTATTTTATTAAACTTATATGCCGCCCTTCTCCCAACAGGACTCAGGGCAGCTTACAGCATATTAAAACGATACAAACACTATCCCCAATAAAAACCAATTTTGAATTCAATACACGTTTCTACTGACTAGTTAGTTACATTATGATTATATTTTAAAAGCATGTTAGTGGATTGAGGTTCTAAAAGTATGTCCATATATGTAAAAGATGTTACTTCCAAATTGCTGTAGGTATCCAAGCATTTTCAGAAATGCCTCAGAAATGTTCCTTTCATATTTATTCATATATCTACATCTATAGATATCAAAATGTGAGAGACACTTTTGTCCAGTGGTTAAGGCACCAGACTAGAAATTAAGAGATCGTGAGTTCTACTTTTGCCTAAGGCATGAAAGCTGACTGAGGCAGAATGACTTTGGGCCAGTCACTCTCCCTCAGCCCATAATGTCAGGTTCAGGTGACAAATTGGTTGGTCAATTCCTGTCACAACCAGTGGAGTTGATAAAAAGAAAAGCAGACTCTGCACCTGCAGGAAAATGCTAGGAAGAAAAGTAAATATTTATAAGGAAGGCACGAGTCTATGTATGTTATGTATATCTGTGTGTCTATATGTACAGTATACCTATATCTATGTGGAAACCATCTGTAGTTCAGATGTCTATGCAATGTACTGCATACAGAACATAATACCATTTCAAACCAAATACGAGCAAAATTTTCTACTGAAAGAAAAGATCAGTCCTTTTAAGGAGAATTGCACAAACTCGTTCAGCATCAAGATCTTACTTGTGCTAAATCAACTTCATTTAACATCACGAGAGAGGTACAGCCATAATCGTAGACTAATCTCCAGAAATCTTTCACAGTGTTCGGCAGAGGATGCTGCGTGACAATGAATGCAGCAGGTTGTCTGTAGCTCTGTATTTAAAAATAGATAAATACAAATAAAATAGAAATGCAGGCAGCAATTTCTCCCTCATCCAATAAATATATAAATCTTACACAACCACTACGCCATTCTCCAGAATAATAAACAAAACAAATGACAAAATATCCATTCCTTTCATTCTGAGGAGGATAGGATGGATTCACGAAATAAAAAAGTTAAATCATGGCCAGAGCTGAAGAACTTCTAAAGTTTTTGTTTTCACTTTAGTTTACTTGTCTTGGAGGAAAAAAAAGCATGATAGATTTACTTATCCTCATGATAGATCTTAAGGCAGTGAACCTTGGCCATGAACAGCTAGCTACCAGCTTTTTTTTTTTTTTTTTAGAATTATGCTGGGTGTCAAGAGATGGATTAATGGGTTAGTCCCTTTGAGCTAACTGAGCACTGCATTATGGGGATGGTTGATGTATATGAGAAACAATGAACGTGACATGTACTCCTATTGCCTCCTGCATTCTATCTTTTTATGCAGAAGCAGAATTAGATTTAATTATTTAGGAGAAGGAAGTAAGAGGAGTAAAAGAAAGTTTTAAAAAATCACAATGCAGTAGCTTCTTAGAGAGAACTGCTGCCTGATACTTTTCCTACCTACTGGTTGGTGTAAAGGTTTAAATCATTTGGCCTAACTTCCCCTATCATACCTCTTGGAAGGAAATGTGAAAAGATAATAGGATGTTCTTCCTAGGATCAATCGCTGATGCTACATTGCCCAGAGGCAAATGGTACAAAAGAATGAGACATGCCTGACTTATCCTTTCTCTCTAGAAGCCATTATGGGCCCAGTTTTCCGTGCTGTACTGCCCAGAAAAGTTAAAGAAATCTGAGCTTCCACTTTTTCTTGCTTCTGATTTTTTGAAAAGCTCAGAAGGGGTCTGCAAGCAGCAAGATGAAAGAGCTCTTCTTTCTGGGTTGGTTTTTTTTTTGGATTTTTCTAACTTCTTCTGAAAGGAAAGGACAACGGTTGTTCAGAAGGGCCTTTCAAGGCTAGGATCATTTGGGATGCCTTGTTATTGTTGTTGTTTTAAATTTTAGTAATATCTGTATAAATATTAATGAATTATACTGTGGTAAATAACCGTTTGGGGTTTTAGGTGTATATAACCACGAGTCCTTTTGGCAGGTGGCAAGTGGTTGTTTCCTCCAAATACAAAGTTACTTACTGGCTGCATTAAAATATATATATTTATAAATATATTTTAGGGTCTTCTAACGTTTCCCTTCAGCGATTTTCAACTCCAAAAAACTACAGAAAATTTATAATATTCATAAAGTCAGAAAAATCAGTATTTTTAGGTTCTTGATTAAAAAAAAATATTGCAGCACATCGGAATAAGTGTGAATTAATTTTTTTTCCAAGTACCAATAATTCTGTTGCGTATTTCTCATCTAGTCAAGTAAAATAGTCACTTACATCCATAAGGGCAGCATTGATGTAATTGCTGCTCTCACCGTCAATAGTAATTAAGAAAGGCAGACATCTGTCAGGTGGCAGCATATCCATAAAGCGGTTTTTGTCATGATTTCTTGGCAAGCATGCTATGCTGCAGTCTTCGGCTTGTAGCCGAGGAGTCACAGAATTCAGGGTCTACAAGGCAAAAGAAATATTTATTTTGACATTGTGTACCTAACTCAAAGAGATTTGGGCATAAGGGATACAGGCAAGGTGACAACATTGAAAGCCACAAAGAAAGAAAAAGCACATTTACTTCTGTTTATGCAGGAGTACGGAAGGAGAATCTGCATATATGGGATTGGAAAGCATCCTGTAAAATTCATGCCCTGTATTTTACACTTATCTAATTGCTCCTGGTAGGCCAAAAATCATCCACGTACAAATGAACTGACAGCCTACAATGAATACAATCACACAGTGATATTCCCCATATCCAGACATGAAAGAACACCATGAAAGAAAAGGACAATACATTATGAATCTGACACAGGAGGTACAACACATTCCGTATTTTAGGAAGCAAAGAAATTGTGTTTTTAAAATGACATCAGCCAATGAATGTACCTGGAATTCATCTTTAAGATGTGAAGAGTTTGTCTGAGAGTCTATTCGAATCATGTCAAAATATGCAGCTTTAAATTCACAAACTGGGATGGCAGTTTCTCCGCATAAGCAGGCTTCCAGGATGGCATCATGAATAAAGATATACTGTTCCTGCCAGAGAAAGAACAGAAGAAGTTTGGGAATCCTACAGTTGGACAGATCATTTAGGTCACTGAATCCAACCTCTTCCTTGGCATAGGAATACAAATTACAGAATCCTCAGCACCTGGCTGGTGTGTAGCGGCAATTGAAAGCAGCAATTCTAACAAAAGAAAGTCCTTCACCACTTCTCCAGCTAACTCTGTTGAACTGATTTTATTGGTCAGGATGTGTGTTTTTTCCCCCTAACATTTCACAGGATTTTAATTACTGAGTCCAGAAATGGTTTTTAAAGGAATAAAATCTCTCCTTTGGATACTTTCCCATTAACACACTTATTCAAGAAAGCTTAAAATGTTCATCTCATTTACACAAGCTGAGATACAGTACTGTATATTTTTAAAGTAATATTCATTCCATCAGTATACATTTTAAAGAATGGCAAATTTTAATCCCAACAATACTTAATGGCAACGGTAAAGAAATAATGTTGGAGAATGATTAGGTTTTTGCTCGCATCTATGAAAATATAGCATATTGCCAACCCTTTTGGAGGTATGCTATGTTTGTATAAAGTTGTATGCTTGAAAGTACAGGTAGTCCTCACAACCATTTGTTTAGTGACTGTTCGAAATTACAACGGAACTGAAAAATGTGACTTATGACCGTTTTTTACACTTAGACCTTTGCAGCATTCAAATGCTTGGCAACTGGCATGTATTTATGACAGTTGCATTGTCCTGTGATTACACAATTACCATTTATAACCTTCCCAGCCAGCTTCCAACAAGTGAAGTCAACAACTGTCTTGCTTTGCAGCATAAATTTTGGACCTCCATTGTAATTGTAAGTCGAGGATTACCTGTATATTTTTTTATTTTACAAATGAAAATGTCATGTCATGATCCGGAATGGCAGAGAGTGTTAGAAATAGAAAAATTCAGAAACAAAATTCCCCAATTAAGATTTTTTCTAGAATTTGCACACTCAACAAATGCTGAAGTTGCTTCCAGGCAAGTCCTGATGATGCAAGACATGGAAAGTGTCCCTTTTTGTTGACATTCCGTTGACTAGAAAGAAACTGTGTTCTTTTCCCCACATCTAAAAAATGTGGAGAAAAATGAGAGTGCAAGGCAAGCACAAGAAAGAATTGGTCAAGGAGCTTCCCAAAGGGCTGAAAAAGTCTATTCCTGACATGTCCTGATTAAAAGACATCTGATATTGTGATATATTCCTCATGTTTGCTCTTCCCTCCTGAGTTATATCATACAATTAGCTTGATATGTTTAGGTGTCAATGTATAATAATTCCAGTGCTTTTTCTATTTTAATTTTAAGATCTATAGCAGGGGTAGGCAACCTTGGCTCTTTTATGACTCGTGGACTTCAACTCCCAGAATTCCTGAGCCAGCATGGCTGGCTCAGAAATTCTGGGAGTTGACATCCATGAGTGATAAAAGAGCCAAGGTTGCCTACCGCTGGTCTATAGGATAGGATCACAGAGATTTTGGTTAACAATATCAGAAAAGTCCCACTGGATCAGGTCCTAGACCTGCCCAGTCCAGTATTCTGCACATAAAGTGGCCAACAGGAACATCTTGGGCTAGAACAGGGGTCTTCAAATGTGGCCCTTTTATGACTTGTGGACTTCAACTCCCAGAATTCCTCAGCCAGGCACGCTGGGAGTTGAAGTCCACAAATTCTGGGAGTTGAAGTCCATTCTGGGAGTTGAAGTCCACAAATCATAAAAGGGCCAAGTTTGAAGACCCCTGGGCTAGAACATCCTTCCAATGTTGCTTCTTAGCAACCAATATTTATGATGTACTGCCTATGATCTAGAAGGTAATGATCAGGCATCAATATTAATGGCTATTGATAACCTGATTTTCCATGAATCTGCCCAGTTGCCTTTGAGTACCATCCAAATTGGCTGCTATTTTCACAACCACTGTTATAAATCACAGTATATAATTTATGGATGTCTAGTGTGAAAAACTATTTCTTTCTCTCAGTCCTGAATCTTTCTGTGTATAGTTTCAATGGATGACTTTGAGTTTTAACAGTGAAAGAATAACAACCACACTATCCAAATCATGTGCAATTTTATCTCCCTTTTATAGGTTCCTTTGTTCTATGCTGTAGAGCTCCAATTGCTATAATCTTGCCTTGTAATGGAGCTGCCCTCCCTATCTCATTATTTTGCACATTTTTTTTTATTTTTGAAAAATATTTTCTAACTGGCTGTACTATTTTGTATAAAAACCATATGCATTGTACATGCAATAAGGATAAAGTGCCAAAGATATTTCCTAATAAAAGAAAAAAAATGTAAAATGAAATTGTGTTTGTATTGCTAGCAGTTTATTTTGTTTGTGTTAGATGTAACTTTGTTTGTGTTAGATGTAACTTTCAGTTCAGTTCAGTGCTGAGTTTGCTTTTACAATATTTTCAACATCATTCGGACTGGTGCCAAGATAACCTCTTACCCACATTATATTGCATCTAGAAATAATTACTGTTTTGCAGTGTTAGCATAAGACATACAGTATAACCTATTGCCCAAAAAACTGAGAAACATATGGAGAAGGAAAAGTACTATAAAAACTGGTAAAAAGTAACTACAATTTGATATGCAACAACTATTTCTCTCCTCACAATTTCTGGGCATATATACAACACAGAGATGACTCTTGATATAATGTTTTAAGGAAAGAAACTTTGGAATATATGAAGAGGATGGGACGGTTGGAAAGGGTATAAATGAATGTCGGTTTTATCTCCTTTCCTACCTCCACAAAATGGGTCTGTCTTGCTCTCTCTCTCTCTTCACATTCCTTATTTAGCTGGTCTTGAACCAGTTGCACATTTGGCTTAGTAAGCTGCCAGATCCAGAATATTTTTTTAAAGCAAATGACTAAAATGCACATGAGAATTGGACCACTAATTCATAACAGCACAATACCTCTGTCTGTACCATATTGATGCGGCGTGAACGTAAGGCTTTGACACAGTTGTAGATGTCTACAACACCTTCTCTTTCTGCCATGTCTAACATGATGTCAATTACAATATAGCATCCAGTTCGCCCAGCTCCAGCACTAGAACAAATCAGAAAACACACACACACACACATATATACATTAAAAAATGACAAGCATCCCCAATAAATCAGAAATCTAACATCTGATTTTATATTTTAAAAATCCAGTATTTTACTTTGTGAAAGTGGAATTGTTTTTAGCTAAAGTAACAACATAATTGGATAGACGCTTTCCGTGTTATTATTGAACATTGTAATCACTTTGCAAAGCAGAAAAAAAAACCATCTTCATCTTAGAATTGTTTAAGTGACACATATTAATATTACTTATACAGTTTTCCTGCACTGTTCTCGTTTCTCTGTTAAACTGTCACAAACATTTCCAGCAGAAATTTTTTCCACAAGGATAACTTATTCATAAAATAGTCACTAAGTTGATTCTGAGAGTAGTAATTAAAAAGGCTGGTTTTTGTTTTGCTTCGTTTGTTCATGTATTTATAGCATGCATTTCATTATGGGACCATTTCTAATTTTTAAAAAACCCTCTTTAAAGTTCTAGCCTTTCGAAAAAGATTGCCTCTGATCACAGTTTTGTTTTCCAACAGCCACTCCCATGTAAAATTGTGGCATATCTTTAGCTGAATTCATAAATCATACAGTTGAAAGGTACCATTTAGCTCACTATCTAATTCCTGGTTCCATATCCTAATCCAAATTAAGATATCCTGCTTCAACACTGCCAGTATAAGGAAGCAAAATATCCTTCTGGGGAAATGGTCTGTCCTGACCAGTAGGAATGTTTTTCTAACATTGGTTACTATATTCCATGACTTCCTATTTAGAACAAAAAATAAAGCACAGTATTAATGTTCTCTGCAACATCATTTTAGGTATTTGAAGGGATCTGGGATAGTTCTCTTAGTTTTTCCTCTTCAAAGCAAAACTTTTCCAGATATTCTCTCTTGATAGGACTTAATTTCTAGATCAGTGGTGGCGAACCTATGGCACGGGTGCCAGAGGTGGCACTCAGAGCCCTCTCTGTGGGCACGCATGCCATCGCCCCAGTCCTAGGCCTTCAGCTGGGTTTTATAAAATCTTTTCCCTTTAGGCCTCTGCCACCATGTACAAAAAAAAGATTCAATCAATCAGTCAATTTCAACTTCTCGCGGGAAAAAAAAGATCTTGCAAAGTTGGAATTGAGTGATTGAACTTTTTAGTCCCACCCAGTCTGCTGTTACCACCACAGCCACGCCTGCCCAATGGGCCACACCCACCGGCACCCGACGATGCATAAGTGGGTTTTGGGTTGCAGTTTGGGCACTCGATCTCTAAAAGGTTTGCCATCACTGTTCTAGATCCTGTGAATGTTGGTTTTCATTCAGTGAAAAATAAGCAATTTGATATCAGATCAGGCCATTAGTGAAACAAGAAACAGATGGAAATGTTATCTCCTACTCAAAACACTTTTGCTTCTAGGCAAAAGAAATCTGAAAACAGGTTGATATAAACAAAACTTGCATTTGATATTCAGCAGTCCCGGGAGTTATTTCATAATGGCTTCATGTTTTTGCTATAGACAACCTACTCTCAGACATGATGTTCTGGGAAATAAATTTCCACAGGGTTTTACCTTGTTAATCAAGAAAATGCTGACAGTCCCCAGATTGTCCTTATTGCCCCATTCTGAACCATTATTTTTTCATCTGAATCCTCCTTCTCAGTCTAGGTGTCTATTTGATTTGTTTTTCCTAAATAAGAGTTTGATTACCTAACTAATGTTGATTCTGTTGTTTCCAATCAATTTCTTTAAAATTTTAAGATATTTTTAAATTTTTCTTTACCTATCCCAGTGATGGAGAACCTTTTAGAGACCGAGTGCCCAAACTGCAACCCAAAACCCACTTATGCATCGTCGGGTGCCCGATGGGTGTGGCCCATTGAGTGGGCGTGGCTGTGGTGGTAACTGGGTGGGACTAAAAAGTTCAATCACTCAATTCCAACTTTGCAAGATCTTTTTTTCCTCGCGAGAAGTTGAAATTGACTGATTGATTGAACCTTTTTTTTTTGCACACGGTGGCAGAGGCCTGAAGCAAAAAGGTTTTATAAACCCCAGCTGACTGGGACGACAGCGCGCGTGCCCACAGAGAGGGCTCTGAGTGTCGCCTCTGGCACCCGTGCCATAGGTTCACCACTACTGACCTATCCCATCAAATTTTGATAAGCATCCTCTCCGCCTCCATGTTGTTATAGAAAATGTCAATATATACATGTCCAGAATGGAAGCGTGTAGCATCTCATTTGATACTTCCTTCTAGGTTAATGAGGAGCATTCTTTGAACATGGTTTTAAGCCAGGTTAACACTTAACACTTATATCCAGGTTCATACTTAACTAGCTTGCTAACCAAAATATGAAGATTATCTTATTACAATGAAAACACCTACTAAATAAGTTACCCTAGTATATAAGATCAGACTGGCAAAAATGGTTTGTTAATTTCTATGTTTTTCAAAAAAATCCAGGCATGTGAAGGTCTTGCAATAAGGTTAAATAAGTGAAGGAAATAATAAAAAATATTAGTGTTTATTATCACCTGAGGAGGAATATGTTACTACTTCTCAGAAGCAAGTTGTAGGTCTTTCAATGTAGGATAAAAAGTAGTGATGAGGGAATATGCTTAATTTCTTCTACATAATTAGCTGCCAGTTTAGAATCACTAATAAGTTAGATATTCCTTCTTTTGAACTATTCTACTACTTATTATAAGAAGCGAAACTGTAATTTATATAGACTATTTTATGTGGTTTATATAAACAAGTGATTATTGCCAACCTCAAGTTCATAATAATGTAATTTACTATATATGGAGACTTCCTAAGTTGGGACACTGATCTAAATCAACCTTATGCCATAGGAGCATTTAAAACAGGCCAGATAGCTTTAGAACACAGAAACTGAATTAGAGATTCTTGAAAGTTGGATCATGGAGTTATCTGTCAAAAGAATCAGTTGGAAGTAATAACCCAAGCCATCTGATCAATCCACTCCACATCACACCACAAAAGGTCACAAAACTTGACAGATCATGCACACATTGAGAATGATAGAAAATGCATCTACCTCTTTTCTACACACCTGCAATGCACAACAATAGGCCCAGCACTTGGGGGGTTAGATTGTTTTACACGGCGTATAAATGAAAGTAGGCCTGTTGCATTGTAAGGTACTCCATGATCAGGCCAGCCAGTAAAATGGAACTGTTTAACTTCACGGATTTCATTGTATCCTCTCTGTCAAAATGGAAAATAATAAAAAGAGTATTTTTCTTTTTTTCTCATGAGTTATGTTTAGTTAGTTTTTGGTTAATTTTCTAAAAGATCATTTTTACTTTAAATTGGTTAAAATTTATACAGGACTAAAAATGCAAGCTTTTAGTTGATTTTAATCAGTTTTCTTCCAAAAAAACCTCAATAAAAAAAGATAATTTTTGCTTTAAATTGGTTAAAATTTATACAGAACTAAACATGCAAACTTTAGTTGATTTTAATCAGTTTCCTTCCAAAAAACCTCAATAAAAATGTGAATATAACATTCATTACTAATCGCACCTTAATCATTGCTTATCTACATACTGCACAGTACACCAGGCCAATTGTATATTACTATGAAATTGCAACAATATATGCAAAGTTCTTTCTTTTCTAGAAAGAAAAGTTCAGTCTTTAAAGAAATAGCCTGGAAGTCTCTCATATTAAACTAAAATAGTGCTCCAATGATTGGTCTGTATTAGAAACGTAGTGACATTAATATGAAAGTAGCTCTTATGATCCCATAGAAACAGAATGATAACTGAAACGATTTAAAGTTTAGATATACCCTTATATTTAAGTAAAGTATAACAATGATATGTATACATGTGAGTAAGATATCTTAAATGGAGAGAAACATACTGAGGATTGGAAACCGGAATCAAAAATATAATGGTCTAGTTCCATGTATCATAAGACTTGCTATGATTCTTGCTATTCCTTGCTATTTGAGTGTGCTCGCAAAAAGCTTGTGTACTCCTCTTTTACTGTTATAAAGAAACCAGAAACATCTGTGAAGGAAACCACTGGTGACAAGATCAGAATTAAAGCATTCCTTTACATGCGAGCAGAGTTTAAACCAGACTTCCACAAGGAGCAAGGGCGAGAAATAATCTTATCTCAGTCCTAACATAGCTGGAGGACATCAACATCTGGAACTCCCCAATTTCAAAGAACAAAGAGCTTGTGGTTTAGGAATGGAAGTTACCAAATTCTTCTTGTTTCCTTTTAAGTCTGAATGAGGCGTATATAAAGGGCCTTAATTCTATAAATAAGACTACAAGACTATAAAGTAGGAACAAAATTCATCTGACTATAATGCAACCCTTTTTTTTGTACTAAAATTATAAGGAACCAACCATATAGCATATAAAGGAGACTAAGTAAGTGTGGATAATTAACCAGTGGAATACCTGAGGAAAAGATTGGTCACCAAGCAAATTATCGTTCAAGGAAGATGATATTAAAATTCTTTATGAATATTTCTAAGTGTATGTAAGTAAGTATATCATCATCATCATTTTAGCCATTGTCTAGCCCAGGGGTAGTCAACCTTGGCTCTTTTATGACTCGTGGACTTCAACTCCCAGAATTCCTGAGCCAGCTAAGCTGGCTCAGGAATTCTGGGAGTTGAAGTCCACGAGTCATAAAAGAGCCAAGGTTGACTACCCCTGGTCTAGCCACTGCAGGATGAAGGCCTTTTCCACATGTTTCCAACCAATATGGTCCTGAGCTTTTTTTTTACATACATCTATTGCAGTCCCAATTGGCAAAAGATCTCTCTCTCTCTCTCTCTCTCTCTCTCTCTCTCTCTCTCTCTCTCTCTCTCTCTCTCTCTCTGCGTGTGTGTGTGTGTGTGTGTGTATGTATTATTATTATTTATTAAATTGATTTGCCACCCATCTCATCATAAGGTGACTCTGGGTGGCTTAAAAGTTAAAACCAGTAAAACAAGACAAATATACATATAGCAATACAATTATAAGTTATGGTAAAAAGATGGAGAGGGAAGGAACAAGGTGTGCAGGGAGTGAGATGTGATCTGCTATTAATCCATCAACCAACTCCAGTGTGGTACTCCCCTATTGGGGTCCCAAACCAACTGGCAAAGCCAGGTTTTCAGACCATAACAGAAGGTCAGGAGGATGGGAGCAGATTTCACCCAGGAGTGGGGGTAAGATGTTACAAAGAGTTTCGTATGTATGTATAATAGATAAGATAGACAGATAGGATTGCTAAACTATGGCATGTTGTTTGTGTTTATTTAGCAAGTTGAGTATGCCAGACATTATTCTCAGATACATGTTTGAACTGATGGCAAAATTCTTCAAAGTGTTTTGTTTTTTTGTGAAATAACAAGGCATAAAATATGACCAAAATATTAGTATGATAATAACGTTAACAGACATATGAGATGCTGCGTATAAAAAAAAAAGAGAGAAATTAAATTGGATGGAAAACAATTTAAAAAGCTTAGGCATAGCAGAATGAGTGGGTTACAGCTCCAGTGTTGTAAGTACTATAGTGGTGGGCAGATTAAAGAATGGTTTGAATATGTTACATAAATCTTACATGTTATCGTAAAGTATTAAATTTACAGCAGTTTTCAATTAAATAATTTGAAGCTCTAATCCGTAAATATTTACCCTTTCAAGGGTGAATGTCCTGACAACATATTCTGCAAGTGGTTCCACTTCCACACAAGCAACTTTGAAGTCCCCATAAACTTCCGTGTCATCAGGCCAATACTTGTAGCACTTAACCTACAATCAACATGATAGAAATATTTCTCAAACAAAGAAATGGATGAATCACTGAATCATGCACATCACATAATTCTTTTTATTTAGTGGTAGATCGTACTTCATAAATGGAAATACGGGTGAAAATGGTGGAAAAAAATTAGGGCGGAATAAGCCTTTTAAAATGCTTATTTTTATAATAATCATATATTTCTTATTTTATATATCATGACCCTGCTTTCACATCATTAAAGATCACCCATTCATTTTTACTTACACTCCATTATTTTGCTTTTACTTTTAAATATAAAGGAAAATATACCACCTAAAGAATTCTTTGACTTTTTTCTGCAGTCTCACATGAATGGATTAAATGGAGGATAAAAAAAAAAAGTTCGGTGCTTTTAAGAAAAGTACAATAAAAGCAGAGGCATTTGAAAACAGAAAAGCTGATTACATCAAATGTTTTTCACTTAATTCTCTATTTGCTTCTAGAAGGTGGATAACGCATTAGTGCCACAGGTAGCTCTTGATTTACAGCCATTCAGTTAGTGACAGTTCAGTGCTACTGTGGCACTGAAAAAAAAGTGACTTACAATCAGTCCTCGCAGTTACAACCGTCACAACATCCCCACAGTCACATGAACAAAATTTCATGTATTTATGATGGCTGCAGATTCCTGGACTCACATGATTGCCATTTGCAACCTTCCCAGCCAGCTTCCGACAAGCAAAGTCAATGGGAGAAGCCGGACTCACTTAACGACTGCACAACTCACTCAATAACTGCAGTGATTTGCTTAACAACTGTAGCAGAAAAGGTCATAAAATTGCACGTGTTTCACTTAACAACCGCCTTGCTTAGCAAAGGGAATTCTGATCCCAACTGCGGTTGTTAAATCAAGGACTACTTTTACGTTGAGACTGTTCAGCCTATTTCTGTTTTGCACACCAGAGGAAGACAAGATTGTGATTTCTTGTCCTTTTTCACCTCTGTGCTTCCCAGCCATCTGTGTGCAGATACAAAATCTATGTGGGTGAACAGTACACACAGAACAGTACACAACAGTATGAACAGAAATATGGAAATTCTTTTTCCAGATAAATAAAAATCTTAAATGCTCACATGCACTTGCAGTCACAATGTTTGATTTTTTTCCCATCAACCCAGATATACTTAACAGATTACAGACATGCAAACAGAGGTATTGAATTCTGGCTCTATATTGATCACTTAAAGGTAGGCATTTGTTCTTCCTGGTTTTGCTTCTGTTTTTCTTTGCAATGTTAGCAAAATTTCATGAGGTTTGGTATTTGTGAGGAGATACTTACCCGACCCACTTCAACTAAATTTGTAACCATAACAATGCAGGCTGATTGTTCTTGCCATATCATTCTCCAGAAATCATAGACTGTCTCATGCACCGGCCCTGGCAAAGAAAATGATTATAAATAAATTAAAAAAAAACCTGTAAAGCTACCATCTCTAAAATAAATATCAGGTATTCAAGGCAGGTATGAATGATTTGAGTAATCTTTCAAAAACTGCTGCACATTAATAATTAGTATTGAAGTATCTCACAGAAACCAGGTTATTAGTTTTTTAAAAAACAAAATAAAGATTAAGCTACTGTAGCTGCTTTAGTGCAAGAAAATGCCAATATCTGACAATTAATGGAATTTGAGAATGGGCTCATTAACATTTGGGAAATCATATTGTTCAGGCTGTGTAATGCACCAATCAGCTTTAAATCAGCTTCATATTTTCACATGAGAACTTATAATACTGGAAAAGGACACAGAAAATCTTTGTATACTTTGAAGAATTTTAAGCATTGCACACCCCTAAAGATTATCACAATATTTATTATTTGACTTAATCGTCTTATTATAAGCCAACAAACATTTTGTCTTATTTCCACATTGGGAAACTATGAGGATTTGATCTGTGTCGGCCCCTCCATTTTGAAGGTTGGTACTCATGTATCGTAAGGCTTGTTTTCATTAGCTTTTGTTTATATTCCTTTCTTACAGGCCCAGTCTATATAGGATTATTGATACCAGTCATCATGCCTTTATATCCTGGTTGCTGCTGCTCCTGCCACAACCAGGAGAAAGCTAGTGTTCACATGTCCTCTATTTGCCAAGGGGCATGGTAGGCCAGCATGGCCGTGGCCAGGGGGGCTTTTCATCAGGCTCGCCTGATACGCCAGTTGCGCCCCTTTCTGGATCGGGATGCCCTATGCACAGTCACTCAAGCCCTCGTTGTTTCCCGCCTGGACTATTGCAATGCTCTCTACATGGGGCTCCCCTTGAGGTGCACCCGGAGGCTCCAGCTAGTTCAGAATGCGGCTGCGTGGGGGATTTTGGGGGCCTCTAGATGCTCCCATGTAACACCTCTCCTGCGCGAGCTGCCCTGGCTGCTGGTGGCCTTCCGGGTGCGCTTCAAGGTGTTAGTAACAACTTTTAAAGCGCTCCATNGCAATGGACCTAGGTATTTGCAAGACCGCCTCCTACCAAACACCTCCCTTCGACCAGTCCGCTCTCACAGAGAGGGCCTCCTTAGAGTGCCGTCGGCCAGACAATGCCGGCTGGCGACCCCCAGGGGGAGAGCCTTCTCTGTGGCAGCTCCTGCCCTCTGGAATGACCTACCCCCGACCTACGTACAGTTGCGGACCTGCGCCTTTTTCGCCGAGCCCTGAAGGCCCATCTATTCCGTGCGGCCGGCCTGGCGTAGTCTGATTATGTTTTAGTGGGGGTTTTTATATGGGGTGTTTTTAGAACAGGCCTGTTATTTAATTTGGTTTTAGAACAGAAACTATTTATTTATTATTGTGGTTTTTAGTATCGCCTGTTCACCGCCCTGAGTCCCGTAAGGGAGATAGGGCGGTATATAAATTTAATAAATAAATAAATAATAAATAAATAAAGGATACTGGACAGCATCAGAGAGCAACCCTCAAGGCTCCTTTTCTGTTGGGCATGGAGCCTCTTTCCAAGATCCCACCATTGAAATTCAGTAGCATCCTTCCCCCCTGCAATTCTTCACCCACTTTTGGTGGAAAGTTAACTAAATAAAATAGGCATGCTAATTAATTTATAATCCAAGCTTTGCAGAAATTAAATAAAGCCTACTTATGCTATCTTTTGACAGTGATTTTTGATTGTAGCAGGATATAAATATGATTAACAAACAAAACTCTCTCACACCAAATTCACAAAAATAGAGATTAAACTTTTCTCTTTTTTATCTGTATTGGTGATATAGACATCCAAAGGAGCCCTTTGGAAAATCATGCCTAACTTAACAACATTTAATACGAATTTTACAGTTCTGCACATATTTCCAGAAACTCTTACCCTGGGTTGCAATGTAGTGGCTTGGTCTCTGGTATCCCTATAAAAACAAAAATAGGTTGATTTTTAAAACAGTCTGTAAGTTTTAAACATCAAATCGAATAGGGAAAATGAAGGCATACCAAAATATTCCTAGATACTCCTTACAGCTAGGCTACTAGTGGCTAATCCAATCAACCATATTCAACAACATAGTTTCAACCATTTCCAGAATATCAAAGTGCATTGTTGGATGTGAAATAAGCCCAGCGATTTCAAGGTGTTATTTTTGGGCAATGGCACTTAGAACCAAACAAAAAGTTCCTGAAAACATATACTGAGTACATCAAAATGAAGTGGCTCATTGTTTCCTAATTGTTCTGTTTTGTGAAACCCATAACTGTTGTCATTTATTGAATTTCAAATTTGTTTTTGGTTCTAATTCAGTGAAACTATGAAATTGTTCTAAGCAACTATGAGATTTGCCTTCACTTAAAAAAAAAAAAGAGATTGACATAGTTTTGTTTGTTATTTTAGATATTAAGCACAAAACAACCAAGCCATTAGCAAAAACTTTCACTATGAATGCACCAGAAAAAAAATGGAGCCATAATGAGTAAGCAGAATGGCTGAACACTGGAGCTGGACAATGTATATGTGTGTACAGATTGCAAATCTATATGCAATGCTGCAATTTCGTGCTATTACATAAAACAAAGTTGAGAATTTAAGAAATTATGTGTACGTATAATATAAAGATGAACACACATATATGTGCCATTACTGAACTTTCTCTATAGTACAATTTTTAAATGCAGGGAAGGATTCCATATACATATACTTTAAAAAAGGTTGGCCTTTTGGCTAAAATCAAATAAGCAAGAATTAACCATGATTGGTTAATGATTAGAATATGAAACAACAAAAAAGATTACTGGATCTCATGAATATTATTTCATCAAGTTTTTGCTAATTATGTGTTAGAATTTTGGGAAGGCAAGGAATTAGTCTTATTATGTAATAAATAATTATGGTACTAGCACATGTAAACATGTTATCCTCAGTGTTTCTATGGCTTAAATGTAGGATTAGAAGCAGCACTGTATAATTTTCATGTAGTAAACACATTGCACTCAGTTGGTCAAAGGAACAAGTAATTATTATGAAAAATAATTCCCAAAGATGCTTTATTGACAAATGCATATATAAAGCAATGTATATAAAACATTGCTTCTTCAGTTTTTCCATCACTTCTTACTCAGTTTGACAGGAAAGACATCTTTTTTGATGTATTTTTGAAAGGAAGAGAAATCATTGAGAGTCATTGCAAATGTTAACTTTGTTTTGAGGAGCTGATGACATTGAAATGCCTATTACTGGTAGTAGCCACTAATGCTCCTACAAGCCCATGGCTTTCCTGTTTTTTTAACATCCAAAACAAGTCCCATAATAACCTGAGATTTTTTAAAAAAACAAAAACCAGAGAGTTGTGTGATGTACCTGTGCAGTGACCTGCACTCAAACAGAAAATGTGATTTGAAGTACAGATGCATGACATGAACTAAAATATACCAACTTTAAGATCCTGCTGACTATGGCTACTCTTTAAAATCAAGACTGCTGCACAGCTATAATTTCTAAGACAAAATGCAAATCAGGATCCTTGGGCAAAAATCCTACAAAATTCTAGATCAACCTGAGAATGCACTACACAACAGGGAAAGAAAACATTTTCTTGCAGAGAAATGAAACCCGCAAGGAGTTAGATGACAGCTTTCAGCAGAATCCTGAAATAAAATGGAGGCCTTGTAAACACAGAGCAATATTGTTCTCTAACTACATAATCTTGCACATGCATTCATTCAAATTATCAGGGACATAGCTATGAAATCCTTTTATTAGAACTATTGGCGGGTGTATCTACTGAGTGATAACTGCTCTATTCAAGTAATGGCACCTGTCTATTTTATAAGTACATCAGTGCTGATTACACACATTAGACATTTTGAAATTCTGTACTGAATTAGATTATCAAATATACAAGGCTTGACTATATAGTCTATGAAATTATTACTCCATTATAGCTTTCATGGTCACATATGTACATTTGTATTTGTCCAAAACTGTAAGCTTCAGTACTGTTTTTAACGCATTACTATTTCACTTTTATTGCAAGTGGAGGATTCTTGTCTTGCATTACAAATATGAGGGTCAAGGATTAGTAGGGGAAGCACCACTGCTCATATGAATTCCCTTTAAGAACAGGAGACAACTCTAGCCCTCCCTTTATCCCTTTCAGGCCATCAGTAGGTTTCTTTTGAAGAGCAACACACTATATTCTATTATCCAGCTTCTCACACAAAAATAATGGAACACAAAATAAAAATTACTAAACAGTGCAAAAAAAGAGTAATAAAGAAGCAAAAATGAGTCTTGTAAGGGTTAAGGTTTCACTGATTTAGCTAATGATTTCCATGACCACTGTAAAAGACTAAGGATATTTTTTAAATGTAGGTAAAAGCAAAATAATAGCACAAAGAAACATTAAAAAGACTAGATATATAAATGAAATTCATTAAATGAGGCATGCACATATATCTAGTAATAAAAATTAGAACAGTAAAGCAACTGAGAATGTTCACTATATTAAATAGTCATAACAGGATGCTGTTATTCACATATAGTGGTACTTACATCCCTGTACAGCCAAATCTACAGCCCAAATCAAAGTCAGATGTGAAAGAAAGCACAACAATGTCAGTGAGTACTAGGACGGAGGACAAGGAAAAGTGTACATTTTGTTCATAATATTAAGAAGGCTGTCATTCAGTTCATAGGAATTGCATGCAAAAATGTTTCACAGAGAGATGGAAAGAAAAAAAAAGCAAGATATACAATCTACTTACATCAATATAATTAGCATTAATGTAGTCTGAAGAGGGATCATCTTCCACAGCTTGTAATATCACCCTGGAGTGATCATCTGTAAAAAATGGGTTTCGTCTTTGGAATGATAGACAGCAGAAACAAACAAGTGTGAAATGTAGAGGCTAAAGGTGCCCTTATTTAAGGAGGAAAAAAGGTAGTCCCCCATTTGACTTGCAATGCTGGTGACCCCTTCCAAGTCTGCTCAAAAGTGCCAGGGAAACCTCAAAGCATGTCTAAAAGTGCATGGAAGGCTAGAGCCAAAAGAAAATAGAAATTGTGCCTACTCTGTGGAACAGTTGAATGAAATGAATGAGCAGAGAAATATACACACTTTAGAACCTGTCTTGGCTTTAAAGCACTAAGAGCAGAAAGGCTACAAGAGGTCTTTCTTAACGATGACCCCATCCCAATGGAGTTTCTTTTCTAAGGGAAATACTATGGCCCCAATTATAGCTACTTTTGAAACAGTACTGTGTGTCAGTGGCTCCACTCCATCTAGAAGCGTCAAGTGGGATACCATGCAGTTATTTTCTAGGCTCTGTGTTGCTAAATATATTTATAACTTACTTGAATTAGGGCTTAGAAAATATAGCGATCAAATTTGTAAACAAGCCAACCAGCAAGATAATTTCTACAAGGACAAATCAAAGTCCTTCATTTGAGTACAGCATAGGAAGGTGAACCATAAACGGAGAGCAGTTCACGCTTAGCGGACCACACAAGCCGAACATGAGGCAAACATACAATGGAGATCTCAAAATAGCAAATGTAATCCTAAACTGCACCATCAGAAATATAGCATCAGTATCAAAAGGAATCATTGTTCCTCATAGTTCTGGGTTGGTTGGACAACAATTACATTCTGTTTACTCATACATTTTAGCAAGGATACTCAGAATATGTCCAGAAACAAGCAACCAAGACAAAGATAAAACTTATGAAGAACTATTGATGGTGCTGGCCATATTTAATCTTGGTAAGGCATGACAGCTTTCCTCAACATTTGTCAGGTGCAAAATTGTTCAAAGTTGATTCAGAAGGCAGTGTGTGAAACAATGGATTTACAAAAAAGGAGATTTTGGTTGTATATCAGGAGCAACTTTCTAATAGTAAGGCCCATTCAATAACAGAACAGATTATCTAGGGAGCTTGTGGATTCTCCTTTACTGAAGAGGTTAAAAGAGAGGCTGAACGGCCATCTGTCATGGGTGTCTTCATTGGTTGGAATAAATGATCTCCAAGGTTCCTTCTATGCTATGATTCTGTGAAATACAATTTTTTTGTCTATGAATCTGTTCAGCAATGGCAGAGGCAATGCTATGGAGTAGTTAAAGCAATGAACTAAGGCTACAGAGAAATATTCAAATTTTTAACCACCCAGAAACACATCATTTACTACTGTGTAGGATTGGTAGACATAATAATATGCTGTCTAGGTTATGTCAATCAGAAAACACACTCATCTGCATGATTATTTGTTTTTAACTCACATGCTATAATGTTCCCATATCTATTCTTCGTTCTGTTTTGATCCTTTTTGGCCACATCCCAAGAAGCTGATTGTCCTTCAAAGAAACTCTTTCAAAATAAAGAGATAATTTATATTTATTTTAGCATTTTATTCCTCCTGACACATTTTACACTTAACATTGTTAGAGCATCAGTTGGGTTCTTGGTTTCTCTGAGTTTGATTGTTTTACTGGAATTATATATCAGCATATATAGCTTTTCCTAGTATAAACACATGGAAATATTCTGCCGGGCAGAAACAAATTCAGTGCCTGGCAGTTCTAGAAAACACAAGAAGGCTTGCGGTGGAAAAAAAAAAATCCTAATATCCCTGTTTCTCAACTTCAGCAATTTTAAAATGCTGGATGGGGGAATTCTGAGAGCCAAAGTTCATAAATCTTAACATTTTTGAGGTTGAGTAATACTGCTGATGTAAATAAAATGATTAAACTACAGTCATGCAAAAAAAAAAAAAACCCTCCTTAATTAATTACAGGTAGTTCTCGACTTACAACTCTCCTATGCCTGCCCATTATGGTCATAAAATGTGATGGTCACAAAGTGGCTCACCCATGTGACTAACCTGGTTTTACCTTTTTTTTCCAGTGGTCATTAAGCAAATCACCATGATCATTAAGTGGTGGGGTGTTTTTGCCAAATAACTGGAAGTAAACACCAGTTTTCAGCAAAAAACATTGTAAACTGGGATCATGTGACCACAGGATGCTGCAAAAGGCTCTAAATGTGGACCAGCTCCTCAGTACCCCAAATGTGGATATGTGACTGCAAGGGGTGAGGCTGATTGTCAGAACTTTAGAACTGGGTTGTAAGTCTCTTTTGGGGTGGGGGTCTGTTGTAATTTTGAATAGTTGTTAAGCAACTATTCATAAGTTGAGGACTACCTGTATTTCCACCACAATGATAAAAAGCCAATGCAGTATTTCTTGAAGCCAACAACTAAAAAAGGTCATAATAACATAAAATAATTTCAACTACATGGTGAGAATATTGCATACAATATGAGCTTGGAATCATGAACATGTTAACAGTGATTTGGGATTACTAGTAAGAAGACTTTTTTTTTTTTTACTAATCTCCCATGTAATTAATGGATCCACCGGGAAATATATATTGTAGTATTTATTCTGTATACTGCCTTTCTCTGTAACAAAATGAATAAACAAACAAACAAATAAGCAAACAAATAAATAAATAATGCATGTTTTTAAAAGTCATACCTGCTTTGTTTTATCTGGATAAAGGAATTAATTTAGTAACTCACATAGCAAAAACTAAACTCAAATGCTAAAAAAGATATATACATATTTCCTTTATATAAAACTAGCTGGTCAACTAAGATTAAAACCAGAGTTTCCGAATCGAGATTCAAGGATCTATATTTGGTCAAGACAGGTCATACAATTTCATTCCAACTTCTCCCAGGTCTCTCTGCATGTGACACATATACACTGGTGAGTGGTCTGTCCACCCTCTTTCTGAAGTGAGGGTTGGGGGTGGGGCATAGACAAAATAACTGACCTTCTCTGTGGTTCCCTTCCCCCTCCAACCTTTGAATACCTTACACCTCCAGAGATCATTGTTTTAAAAGACAGGTTCTGCCCCCCCCCTCCAATTCTTGGGAGTAGGAATTGGCAAAATGTTGATTTATTAGTCCTTTATCTGCTGTGGTTTTTCTCTTTTAACATCATGTAGCATCCTGTAGCTCTTTTTATCATGGTAGCTATAAAAAAGCTATCAATAAATATGCAAATCAATCAATCAAATAGACCACAGGTGTCAAACTGCTGGCCCATGGGCCGGACACATCACGCGGAAGCTGCGCCCACCCCATTACGGGCAATGGCAAAACAGTCCCGTACGTCGCGCGACGTCATGTGATGTCACAAGTTTGACATATCTGAAATAGACGAAGAAGACTGGGGTTGTTTTTTTTTAGTGTACAAGTATTGATGCTGCATACAGAGCCTTCCAGGGAAACTTTTCAACAAATGACCTTTGCATGCAAGATTTTTGGCTCATATAATATCCTGCATAGGAATGCTGAGGGAAAATCTGTCCTTAAAAAGGGAGTAATATCTGTATGAGGAAGGTGCATTTTTGATACTTTTCACTTTGCAACACTCTGGTTCACACATAATGCTTTTAAATTTTCCACTGATGCATGGCACCCAGAAAATGATCTTTTTTAAAAATGTAACCCCATGAAATATTCATTCCCATGCTCTTGTAATTAAGAACTCTCTTTGCAATCAAGAAGCTTTACTCTCAAGAGGAACTCTCTGCTCTAGGTCATGTAAAAAAGCAACTGCCGACAGTGTTACCTCGTATTCTTCTTTGAAACCATAGCTGTCAGATGTTTTCATGAGATTAATATGCTGCAGCAAATCCGCTACTCTGATAGCAGGATGCAGTTGGCCAGTTTGGTAGGGGGATTCTGTTCCTTCGCAGAGATAACGAGGCACATCTAATAGACGACTTGACTCTGCTGTTGCACTGTGGTTTTCATCTGTGGTTATAAGAGCCCAAAGAATGGAAGAGTGTTCAGCGACAATGAAACTGAAATATTCCTGCTACAACCCATCTTTTCATGAGCTCATTTTAGCACTCTGCAAACATCTGGGTGCTATTTTGATTCTTACAAAAGAAAGCATAAGCAACAAGCTTATGCAACAAGCATAAGCCTAAGACTGAAAATCAGGCTTGTCAGATGCTATATTTTTCCTATCCTGCTCTATGGAGTAGAGAGTTGGTCTCGGACAGAAGGCCACCTGAAGAGACTAGAAACATTTGAAATGTGGATTTACAGGCGGCTGTTATGTATAAGCTGGATTGAAAGGATCAGAAACGAGGAGATGATAAGCCGCCTGGAAAAGCCAAGGGAAATCATCAAAACAATTGAAAAACAAAAATTAGAATATTTCGGACATGTGATGCAACACCCAGAAAAATACGGCATACTCCATTTAATTCTCCAGGGAAAGATTGAAGGCAAACGAGGTCCAGGCAGAAGAAGAACATCATGGCTTCAAAATCTAAGGGACTGGTTTGGACAAAACTCAGCAGCACTTTTTCATGCGGCTGCTGATAAAAACAGGATCGCCAACATGATCGTCCAATAACGGATATGGCACAAGAAGAAGAAGCAACAAGCAGCAGACCCAAGTTGATTGAGAAGAGGGAGCTCCCTCTGTGTTCCCTCTCTTAAAGAAAGGCATCTCTCTGGCCTTCTCAGTCACTGACTCACACACACACACCAATCTGGAAGAATAACCCCTTAGAGATTCGGCATGACTCAAGGGTAACTGATACTTAGGAAAGAAAACAAAGCAAGGTTACTTTAGCAGACCTTTGGGGAAACGTGAATTGAGAGAGATCTTCCCTGCGAATGACTGCGGGTTCTGATGCCTACTCAGCAAAGGATTTTGCTACTATTGTGTAAGAGGATTGTGAATGTTTATGTTTTTCAGTTATGTTCTTAGCTTTTTTAATTCTGTTAATGCACAGCAGGACTGTAAACCATTCACATGGTTCATGATTGGGGCGGCTATATGCCAAATAAAAAAAAAAATACGTATCCTCTTTATATGTTTTTTTTTAAAAAAAGTTATGCTCAAAACGTATGCTCAGAAACTTCAAATTGATTGAGCTGAGTTTTCAGTCTGAGTTAGAATAGACATGGGTATGTGTTGAATAAAAGCCTGATTTTTGATTCATGCACTGAGAAACCTGAAAGTGTTTATAATTGCAGTTTAACTTCCAAGTCTCATGATACTTACTGATTGTGTAATTGCATACCACTGATCTTTGGGTTTAAGAGAGGTTTTAACTACCTCAGTGCCTCCCAATTTGCTATTGGCTCACTTAATCCTATATTCTGTTATCTTCATGCCAGTTAATTAAAGTGAAGAGAAAAACAACTTTCAGAAAAGTTGTCAATTTTTGTTTGGTTCGTGACTGCTGCATTGTAATTCATATGTCTTTGGAAATTAATGGACTAACCTGTCTGTTCTAAGATTGTTGAAGCATCACAATAAACAGTTTTTATTGTTATAAGTAACAGAATGTGCATGACTTGCAGGTGCTCACCTTAATCTATACATTGATTATAATGCCCTCGGAATGGCTTGAAGAGAGTCATCAACACAGTTTTCTGAATACAGGCAACAGGGCTTGTAGGCCCTAATGGACCTAAGAATGCCTTCCACAAACCCTAACCACTAATCCGTTTTTTAAAAAACTTTTATACAGGCAGTCCTCAA